ATTTTTTTTTTTTTTTAAATTATTATGTTATATATTTGAAATAATTATGTTATAAATTGGACTATATTATTATGTTATAAATTATTATGTTACATTTTAGACTTGATTATGCTACAAATTGGACGTTAAATATTATCGTGTTAGAAGTTACAAATTATTATGTTACATGTTGATTATGGTATAAATTGGACGTTAAATATTATCGTGTTACGAGTTAGAAATTATTATATTACATGTTAGTCTTGGTTATGTTATAAATTGACGTTAGATAGTATCGTGTTAGGAGTAACAAATTATTATCTTACATGTTATAGTTGATTATATTATAAATTGGACGTTAGATATTATCATGATCGTGTTAGGAGTTACAAATTATTGTGTTGCATGTTAGACTTCATTATGCTATAAATTGAACGCTAGATAATATCATGTTATGAGTTACAAATTATTATGTTACATGCTAGAATTAATGAACCACCCAATTTAACATGTTCTAAAAATATAAATATTGTACTATATAGCAGGAGTCATGGGAAGATTTTGGAGGAGATGGTGTTGATTACAGTCTGAGTTTCGATACCTGTACATTATTTAATAGTGCTCAGGACGCTATTGAAGCTGCAAAACACCAGGCAATGCTGAATGGTTTCCTATTAATAATTTCGAGCCACAAAAAGAAAACGGTCACGCTTTTGAAGTGCCATAGAGGCGAACGCTACAGAGGCACAAGCGGAAATTCCAGAAAGACAAAAACGAATAAGTGCGGCTGCAATTTTGAGATCAAAGTAAAAAAGGTGTCCGGCGCTCCATACTGGAGGATTTGTAGATGTAGCAATGAAGAGAAGGGCTACCATAACCATACATTTGCTGTGTATCCTGAGGGTCATCGCCAGTTGAGCGGCCTCAACGCTTCATCTAAGAAAATTGTTCGTGATATGACGGACGCTCAGGTGGCCCCGACAAAAATTATGGCCGTGCTGAAGGAAAAGAATCTGGGAGACAACGTTCAAGTGCGACAGGTATATATATTTATATCTTGTATATGTTTTAATTAACTTTTTGAAGTTAATTATGATAATTAGTAATTTTTTATATGTAAAAGTTATTGTAATAATTAATAAATTTTATTATATTTACTAATGTATTATTATTGTGATAGTTAATAATTATTTTATCAAATTAATCGCATTAATATACTTTTTTATTTATTAATATAATATTTTTTTTGTTTTAAATTATAATAATCATTATAATTAACGCTAATCGGTGACAAGTATATAACTTTAGAGATAAGCTGCGGAAAGAGAGTTTCGAGACGTTCCTTCCCAGCTTATGCATTTGGCCGTGAACAGCGAGTATAGAGTTTATGCAGAATCCGATCCGAACATGAAAGCGTTGACGCATATATTCATGGCCCATCCTGCGTCGATCAATCTATTCCGGACATATCACTGGTATGTCGGCATAGATTCCACGTATAAAACCAACATGTATGTTACTTTATAAATACTTTATTAGTATGAATCTTAAATAGTGTGTTTGATTAAGTAAACTTTTATTTGATTATATTTTTGTCTTCTTGGTCTCATTTGCACAGGTACTAGATGCCGTTGGTCGAGATGATTGGGATGACGCCGTGCAACCAGAACTTCCTAATTGCGTATGCGCTCATCAGGGACGAGAAAGAGACCAGTTACGACTGGGTTCTAGAGAAGTTGAGACTAGTGATAGGCCAAGACGTATATCCTTATGTTGTTGTCAGTGACAGAGAGTTGGGTTTACTAACTCCTATTCAGAGGCATTTTCCAGAATCATCCCACTTACTCTGCACGTGGCACATCAACAAGGATGTGGAAGACAAAGCCTACAAACTATTTGGGAAGAGTAAAAAATTCTTGGAGATTTTCACGCACAGTACGTGGAAGGCGATTGCAGAGGCCAGTACGTTCGATGCCTACACCGATGCCGTTGTCAAGCTGCACGCAAAATATTCGAAGTCTCCAGAGGTGATACGGTATGTGGAGAGCACATGGTTAGGGCACCGCGAGAAGTTTGTGAAGGCTTGGACCAACCGAGTGACACATTTTGGAAACACAACTTCCTGTAGGGTGGAGAGTGCCCACTCTGTGTTGAAGGAGTGGCTTCACACGTCTACCGGCGCGCTCGATACAATTTGGCAGAAGATTAATAAGCACATCGATAATCAGGTGACTGAAATCAAGTACGTACTACAATTTTTAAATGCGTTATTATATTCCTGCATTAATTAATTATAATCTAACGTTATGTAACGTATTATCAGGACAACGCCTGAGGCCTCGAGATCTAAGAAGAATACACAG